TTGATGAGTCATTATTTTCCCTTATTTTCTTACCTTTCTGTACTTATTTTAATCTCCGATTTGTGCTTAATTGTTGATATTCTGCACTATTTTCTAATTGGGCTTTAATTGGACCAGTAATTCATATTTTAACTAATTTGAATTTTCTGAATCTAATTATTCCAATTTTTATTTTCAGGGCAGTTTAATAATTATCTGGGCTTCGAATTAATTTCTGGACTTCAAGTGGAGCTGCCACGTCATCTGCCACATCATCTGCCATGTCACTGCTGCACCATTTTCCACCTCAGCATTCATTTTTAGTTTGTAAGCTATTTTATTGAACTAGGGTCAGACTTGTATTTTATTGGGCCCAATTCATTTTTTTTGCTGATAGGACCCTAGGGTAGGGTTAACTTGGTAGCCACTAGATGAAGGGTCTGATGTGACTACGTGAACAATAGCCTCTCTTCTCTTTGTTTTTTACGTTTTGGCTTCCCTGTTGTTCTTTCTTCCTTTTTTACGTTTTGCTTCTTCTTGGTTCTGGCTGCTCTTTATTTTGTCTTCACGTTTTCTTTAGGGTTCTGGTTGTAATGTGAGACTCCATTTTCATTTGAAATACAGATTACTCATTTTGTTTTGTTCTCTCTGCCTATGCTTCCAGGACATTAGATGCTGCTCAAGCAAATTACACCACCACGGAAAATGAACTTTTAGTTATTGTACCTGCTGAAGAAGGCTGACTCAAAGCCCAGGCAGACCATCTCAGCAAGATTGAGAGAGTTGAGGATGAGGACACTTTGCCCATTCAGGATGATTTTCCTGATGAACACTTGTTAACAGTTTCTGTTCCTTCCCCCACCCCTTGGTTTGCGAACATTTTCAATAATTTAGTTGCTTCTGTTTTTCCTCCTTTAGCATCTAGAGCTCAGATTGATAAACTTAAGAGTGATGCTAAACATTATGTTTGGGATGACCCCTATTTGTGGAAGTTCAAAATGCCTGCAGTTCTGTCATTCTTCTGCATCTGGTGGTCATCTTGGCATTCAGAGGACATCTTGCAAAGTGCTTGATTGTGGTTTTTACTGGCCCACCATCTTCAAGGATGCGTGGAAGATTTGCAGCACTTGTGAGCAGTGTCAGAGAGTAGGAGGAGCCCTTTCTTGGAGACAGTAGATGCCTCAGCAACCCATGCTATTTTGTGAGATCTTTGATGTCTGGGGTATAGATTTTATGGGCCCTTTTCCTGTCTCTTTTGGTTTTTCATATATTCTCCTAGCTGTTGATTATGTTTCAAAATGGGTGGAAGCCAAAGCCACCAGAACTAATGATGCTCAGGATGTTGTGGATTTTGTCAAATCTAACATATTTTGCAGGTTTAGAGTACCTAGAGCTATTATTAGTGATCATGACACCCATTTTTGTAACAGATCTATGCAGGCTTTGCTCAAGAAGTATGGGGTAGTGCATAGAATTTCTACACCCTACCATCCCCAGCCTAATGGGCAAGCCGAGATTTCAAATAGGGAGATCAAGAGGATCTTAGAGAAGATTGTGCAGCCCAACAGGAAAGATTGGAGCAATAGGCTAGAGGATGCTCTCTAAGCACATAAGACTGCTTACAAAGCACCGATAGGGATGTCTCCTTATCGGGTTGTCATTGGCAAAGCATGTCATCTTCCTGTGGAGATAGAGCACCAAGCCTACTGGGCTGTGAAGCCCTGCAACTTCTCTATTGATCAGGCTGGAGAGGAAAGAAAGTTGCAACTGAGTGATCTTGATGAGATCCACCTTGAAGCCGAGGAGAACTCTAAGTTATACAAGGAGAAAACCAAGAAGTTCCATGACAGCTTGATAGCTAGGAAGGACTTCGTGGTTGGCCAGAAAGTTCTCTTGGACAATTCTTGGCTCGGACTCATGGGTGGTAAGTTACGTTCTAAGGGGATTGGACCCTTTGTTTTTTCTATTGTTTTTCCTTTTGGTACAGTTGAGGTCAAAAGTGAATCCACAGACAGGAGCTTCAAAGTTAATGGGCACCGTCTGAAGCCTTTCCTCAGCAATCCATCCCTGTTGAATGTAGTTGAAGAGTAGATGTCTCTGCTCGACCCCACTACTCTACCACCATGACTTAGGGAGTTTTCTTTCCCCTTCTCCTTCTTTACTTTTATTGCACTTGTCCGGATTTATTGATTGTTCTGATTGCTCTGATCTTCTGTTTAGGCCACATTGGGACAATGTGTGATTTAAGTGTGGGGGGGAACTATTTTGGTTACATGCTTTTAGGGTTTATTTGGTATTTTAGGTTTTATGTTTAGGCGTTCTGGACAGCTTTGCATGTTTCTCTGTGATTTATGGGTTTTGGTTGTGGGTAGGCACTTACTTCATTCTTGGATAGGAGTTTCTTGATACTATATGGTTTGAAATCCCTGTTTTTCTCTCCTTGGAAAGATGATTTTGATGTCTGAGAGGTTGTTTTAATTGTGACAGATATACCCTGTGTGAGGATTTTACCCACACTCTGTTCTTTCTTGTGTGTTATGCCTCTTGATTGCCTGCACAGTTGCCTTGTCTTGACTCTGTTTGATACTTCTTGATTCACATGCATGTTTGGATATGATTAAGGCATTTTTGTTCTGATAAGCCTCTGGCCAAATAAGCCTACCTTGAATTAACTCCTCTGATAACCCCTGCTGTGCCTATTTCCCCTTTTTCGTGTGTATTGTTCACGCTAAAAAAAAAACGAAGAAGAGAAGTTGTTTGAGGCAAGAGAAAGAGGATTCATCATCATAGAGGTCATTAGAGGTTTTTGGGTTTGTTTCTTGTGCGCATTCTTGACTTATTCCCTATTGCTCCTCTAGTTCCTCTGGTTTGTAGTTACTTATCCCATATATTTTCCTCTACCCTGTCCTTGGCCTCTTTACAACCCTAAAAAGACCTTTTGATCCTTATGTGCATGTTTGTTGGGTGTTGATTTTAGAGGCTTGCCAAGTCTATCTGTTGCTTGTTTTTCATGAGTGCTTTGAGAGTATACAGTTTCCTAGACACTTGAGAGATACAGTGATACAGTGCATCTTGTGAGGTTCTGTTGCTTTTGATTCACCTCTTGAGTTGATTGATTGTCTTGCCATGTTTTGAAATGCTTGGATGATTTCCATAAGTATCTGGTTTCTCTGACTCTTTTTGTGTTGGATGTTGTCTACTCCTTTTCTTTTCCCAGGATTCATTGAGGATTGTGTAAATCTGTTTGTTTTCTTGTCTGTATTCTTGTTTCTGTTTCTTCCTGTTGTGTCACTCTCTTTGATGTCTCTGGAATTGTTCCTTGCTCTGCTTTTTGATTTTTCCCAGGAGCGCAAAAGGCTAAGTGTGGGGGAATTTGATGAGTCATTATTTTCCCTTATTTTCTTACCTTTCTGTACTTATTTTAATCTCCGATTTGTGCTTAATTGTTGATATTCTGCACTATTTTCTAATTGGGCTTTAATTGGACCAGTAATTCATATTTTAACTAATTTGAATTTTCTGAATCTAATTATTCCAATTTTTATTTTCAGGGCAGTTTAATAATTATCTGGGCTTCGAATTAATTTCTGGACTTCAAGTGGAGCTGCCACGTCATCTGCCACATCATCTGCCATGTCACTGCTGCACCATTTTCCACCTCAGCATTCATTTTTAGTTTGTAAGCTATTTTATTGAACTAGGGTCAGACTTGTATTTTATTGGGCCCAATTCATTTTTTTTGCTGATAGGACCCTAGGGTAGGGTTAACTTGGTAGCCACTAGATGAAGGGTCTGATGTGACTACGTGAACAATAGCCTCTCTTCTCTTTGTTTTTTACGTTTTGGCTTCCCTGTTGTTCTTTCTTCCTTTTTTACGTTTTGCTTCTTCTTGGTTCTGGCTGCTCTTTATTTTGTCTTCACGTTTTCTTTAGGGTTCTGGTTGTAATGTGAGACTCCATTTTCATTTGAAATACAGATTACTCATTTTGTTTTGTTCTCTCTGCCTTGCATTTTCGTTTTATTTCTCTGCCATTTTCGTTTTCCTTCTCTACCATTTTCGTTTTCCTTCTCTGCCATTTTCTTTTTCCTTCTCTGCCATTTTCGTTTCTGTATTTTAATGGAAGGCTAAAAACCCCTGGGTTAGCTTCTTGTTATGGATTATAATCTCTGTTTAAGGTTGGGTATTTGTGTTCATCTCTATTCTGCTTTGTTCTTCTTTATTTAACCTCTGTATCAATGTGTCCATGCTTAATGGGCTGTGCTCAATACCACAGTTGCTGAATCTGTGAAGAGGTTGATGTTGTATACGTTATGAGAGTTGTAGGAAATCTTGAGTTAATCTTCGCTTAGTTGGTTAACTCGGATGGAACAAGGATTAAGTGGTTAATAGAGTAATCTTTCGAACCAGGGATAAAAGAGTTACAATCCGAACAAGGAGCCAATTTGTTTTACTTGCTGAGTAATTTCATTTTATTGTGTATAAACTGAAAATCTGAACTTAGGCTACAATCCAAGGAGCCGAAGACGAGCTTAACGAGCTGCAGGCCATGATCAACTATCATATTCAAAAGGCGAAGGACGCTCAAAAGATCAGTGATGATATGAGCCAGGCAGTCCATACACAAGTTGAAGCAATGGCCCGCCATGTAGAGGAAGCCGAAGACGAATGGAGAAGAAACATGAACCCGCCTGTGGGTTTCTATCGGCTTTTCTCATTTTGTAAAAAATTGCTTCAAAGCATTGTATGATAAGTTGTACACTTTCTATGATCAATAAAATCGAGTTTTTGAGATTTATGAAATCTCTCAATTGCCTTTGCATTTCATAGTCATTCATTTGCATACATCGCTCCAAGTAATTTATTAATAACATTAATAAAAAGAAAGAATTAATCGATGCGTATGTTCAGAATGGATCGCACGCCATTTATTATTAAAAGCAAGCCAACAACAGCGCCAAGCGAGCACACGTCAACTCCGTTGTTGGTAATCAAGACGAACAAAGGGGAAGGTCCGACACCGTTAAGGATCATTGCTCCAAGGCCTTTTCCCTACGAATCAAATAAGGCTGTGCCATGGATATACGACATCCATTCTTCTGCCGACAGCGATATCTCTAACATCGCTGGACTTGGGGGCATGACTAGGAGTGGCAGGATCTACACTCCCGAAGATCTTCATGATAAAGCTCCCAAGAATAAAGGAAAGGAAAAAGAAAAAGAGAAAACCGAGGAAAATAAAGAATCCGAGGAGGAGACTGACGAGCTGTTAAAATATATCCGACAGAGCGAGTACTCCATCGTGGATCAACTTCATAAGACGCCAGCAAAGATTACTCTGTTGTCGTTGATCCTAAGCTCCGAACCGCATCGGCAAGCTCTGTTGAAAGTCTTGAACGAGGCATACGTGTCGCACACTATCTCCCAAGACAAGTTTGAGGGGATTGTTAGTCACATCACGGCTAATGATCACCTCACTTTCACCGATGAAGAGATCCCCGCTGAGGGACCAAATCACAACAAGCCCTTGCACATCTCTGTAAAGTGCAAGGAATATCACATCGCTAAAGTCTTGGTGGATAATGGATCTTCCTTGAATGTGATGCCAAAAAGAACGCTTGATCAAGAGGCAATCAAAGGAGTCCAAATGCACCCAAGCAACATGATCGTCCGAGCTTTCGACGGTTCTAAAAGAGAGGTGGTGGGAGAGATCAATCTTCCAATACAAGTTGGACCCACCATCTTTAATGTCGAATTCCGAGTGATGGACATTACTCCTGCATACAGCTGTCTCCT